TTCTTTTCATATTTTAATTTATTGTTGATCTTGAAATTTTTCATTTTTTGCTAAACGATGTTCGATTTGAAGACGTCCACTGAGTTCTTCTAATTTTAATGCAACTGCTGGATAAAATAGTTTTGGTGAATGGGCTTCACGCCTTAATAATTAAAATAAAAATTTTAAAATATTTATTAAATAAACAAATAAATGCAAACGAATCTCTTACTGAATATACATATAATGATGGAAGTGCTGTAAAAGCTGTATATGAGCGTGAATATATTTGAATAAAAACAAACAAGATCAGGTGGTAATTCAATTTCAATATCACCTCAACTTTCACCTTGTTCATCTTGCTTATTATTAAGATTTTCTCTATTAAGATCATCTTCATCAGCCCAATCTCCACCACATATTCCTGTTTCATCAATATGAAGATTTGCAGAAAGTTTTGCTGTTATGTTTGATATTAAACCTGCTTTGATTCTTGTTGACTTGTTGGACATGATGATAAAATTATTTAGCATTCAGATTTATTTCAGCTAACTAAAATAAATAAATATTTTATTTTGAATTACTACATATAATACGAAATTAACATTGATTAAATTCTTAGAAACTATTTAATATCTCAAAAAATTGGTATATTTACACCAAAATCTATAGCTAGTTTTCAAGACTTTCAACTGCCAAATATTGAAAAATTAAAATTAAAATTTTCTAAATTGTTTTGATTTTTTAAAACATCCTCGGAAGAAAAAGAACAATCTCAAATGTTACTTTGATTGCATTGTGTAAGAAGTTTAATATGTTCTTCAGCATCTTCTAATAACATTGCATTTTGGAATTGTCCACTAGCATCTTCTCGTACTTCAGCTAAACAAAAAATAAAAACAAAAGAAATTTTTCAAACCAATTTTCATCATTTTTCTTAATTTTTCCCATCAGCGTTTACCATCTAAAACTCGAGCAGCTTCAAATGCAATTTAAATAATTGAAACTAATTTTAAGAGAAAAAAACAAAATTAATTTACATCAATATTTCCATATTAAAGGACTATTCAACATCTTGTTTTTTCATCTGTTACAAAATGAAAGTATGAAGTGCCTAAAAAGAATCTTGAAAAGAAATTTGTAAATCTTACTTCATCGTATTTTCTATTACTTTAACTTTTGTTATATAAATATCTAAATCAAGTGTAAAATTCCATGATCACCATTAATAAGTGTATACTTAATATGATTTGATGTTGTAGGAAGAAAAACACCTCAACCATCCTAATAATGATAATTCATATCATTTGACCACATTGTATATGTAACTTTTCCTCTTCTTACACTGCTTAAGGAACATTTCTATTAAGTATGATATATATTAATATCATTATTTTCACGAATTGATCAAGACTTCTATCAACATAAAAATTTCATAACATTTTGCTAATTAAATTTCTTTTTGTGTTGCATTAAAATCAGATGAACGACCACCTTCACATGCTAGAAAAGAATATACATTAAAAATATTGAACAATTTAGATAAAATATCTTACTCTTTTTAAAATCTTGACTTTCAATTCGAATAAATCCTATCATCGAGAGTTTTATATTGAATTTGTTGATTCACCATCATCTTTCGAGTGTACACCACTAAACATTTGTTTTAAATAAAAAAAAACAATTAATTTATTTTAAAAACTCTTAGAAAATTTACCTTTTTATTTACATCAGAAGAACATCTTTTGGTGTTATGATTTCCAACAACAACAACAATACCATAAACTAATAGTTCACCTTCCAACCGAAATATAATTATTTCATTGTAAAAATTGAAATGAATGATGAGCACATACTTGAGTATTGTGTACGTATTCGTCATCTGCCTCGTGTGCTCGCAAATGAATATACAAGAGACAGGAAAATGAAAAAAATATAGGTCAAGACGACAATCTTTTTTTTTCTTTTCTTCTCTCGTCCGCAACTTATCGTTCATGTTATCATTGATGATCAATGATAATATGATATAATTAATGTCGTCTTTTAATCACTCTCTGGCGAGAAAATAAAATGTAGGTATTAGTTTTAATTTTCTTTTTTTTTCTTTTACATCATATGGAGGATGGTAAGTCCTCCTTTTATCTATTTTTTTAAAATTTTAGTCATTCAAAAGTGAAGAAAAAAATAATACAGGGTAAGTCATTCTTTTCTGTTCTATACATATGTCATTAATTAATTTTTTTTTCTTTTCCTTTTAAACGTCATAGTTCAATATCAAACAGGGTGAGTTCTGTTCATTGAGGTTAGGTTCGCGTTATATGAAGGACTTCCGGGTAGCCCCTAAAAGCCCGGCCAGGAACTGCTTTGGTGTCCGTGGCACACCACCGAGCCTCCCCAGACTCACTGACACATGACATCGGGTGGGTGCATGTGGATGACGTGGGTCTTCCCGCGCGTGCATGAGCTTTACGCTCGCCACGTCTCCATCAGGGTAGTTCCTGGTCGCGCGCGCGCGAATAGAATAAACATTCATTTCATCAATTCAACGTCAATTTATTAGCAAAGAAAGAAAAAAATCCATCATTATGAGTTCATTCGATTGAAAATCGTTGAACACGATTATTGTAATAATCGACGACATAGAGATTGCCTTGTCGATCGAAGGACAAACCACCGAGATAGTTGAACTGATTTGCTCCTTTTCCTTTGCCATTTCCACCCACAATGACAGTGCCTTGTTTTGCTCCTTTAGGCCAACGCATCACTCGATGATTCCAGGAGTCTGCCACATAGATGGTACCCAACGTATCGACGAACAATCCGTAAGGATACTTCAATTGGGTCAGAGCATTCCCTTCGCCTTGATCTCCAGCGACGACAATTCCTTCTGTTGCACCTTTATTCCATTTCATCACACGATGATTGTAGTTGTCTGACACGTAGACAGTCTGTTGTTGATCGACAAAGATGTAGCACGGACCGTTGAGTTGATTGAGACCAGCACCTTTGCCATTGCCACCAGCCACGAGAGTTCCATTCTTGTCTCCTATGTTGTATCGTCTTACTTCATGTTTGTCGACGTCAGAGATGTAGAGATATCTCTGATCATCCGTAGCTAATCCCCAAGGATCGATATTGTCGATGACGACTTTTCCTTGAGTTGTACCACTACGACGAGGCCATCGTACGACTCGTCGATTCCAGTAATCACATATAATGAGACTAGCAGTCTCTTTGTCGATTAGCACATCGACTGGTTGATACAATTGATCCAATCGATTTCCTTCGCCACTGCCACCAGCTACCACTTGTCCATTCGTATCACCCTTCTTCCATTGGATGATACGATGATTACGGTTGTCAGCGATAACAATCGTTTGATCATCATCAACGAAGAAACCTTGAGGCTCGTTGAGTTGATTGGTGGCACTGCCTTTTCCGTGGCCTCCAGCAACGGTCACACCATTCTGTTTCCATCGGGCATCGACTGGAATATTGGGAGTTACTACAATGAACGAGAAAAAGAATCGTTTTCGTCGTTATCTATGAATAAAAAGTTCTTGTTCGAAGAGAACTTGATAAAACTTTCGAGAATGTCTTTCTCTAACATACTCTAAACAAGCAAAAGATTCTCCTAGTTTCATATGCAACAAAAAAAGAACTTGGTAACAATTCTTATGAGAATTCTTTTGAGATTTTCGGAAAGAGTTTTTTTTTCTCGAGAAGAAGCATTTCTGAAATACTGAGAAGATTCTATCTGGAATGTGTAGGCGGTTGCTGTAGGAGTTAACATTCTTCAAAATGTTGAGAAGCCTAATGCTAATAGTATGTTACCTATCGATTGGAAAACCTAGAGATTTTAGTCATAATTCCAGCATTTTTAGAAGGATTTTATAAGAAGAAGGACAAAAATAAGGATTTGAAAATTGCGAAACAAAGATATTTCTTTTTGCTTTTGAAAGATGCGTACACTCTAAAAAAAAATCGTTTTTTTACCGAACCCCCAAAAAAGGTTCCGGAGATGTCTAACAGCGTCCAAAGATATCCAAAGTTTCAAACAAAGGATAAAAAAATCTACGAAACTTTTAAAGGTTCTTACCGTGTATTCAGAATAAGAACCTTTTCCTGCGAAACCTTTTTTTAAGTTCCGTACAGCAGAAAAAGGTTTCGTAGGAAAATACGAAACCTTTAGAGTTTCATATTAAACCCAAAT